TAAATGTAATAAAAATGGATCACCTCCCATTATAAGATCAACTGACTGATTTCAGGGAATATGAGAATATCTGAATTTTAACAAAACCCCTACCTACTTGATGGAGGGGACTATAAAAGGAATATAATGTAAATAATGAAGCCAGAAACTTACTTCTTAAATTTTGCTCTACATATCTTTGTAAGATGAGTTTTTCATGGAAGACAGATATTATAACCAAGTACTAAAACTGATCCAAGACTTGGACCTAACAATAGCTATATCACAAAGGACTAATCTGGGCTTAAGAAACACTTTTATTAAGTAAAAACTGATTTTGCATCATAAATTTAAAAATTCTCCAATACCAAAAAAAAAGGAATATAAAAATCTTCTGTGTTGAGCACAAATAATGAGAAAGAAATACAGCTATAAAGGAGCATGACAAATTCAGAGACAAGAGTGTAGCTGCTGCATTTAGTGAATAAAAAGGGTAAAAGATGATAACAAAAATGTAACCGGAGGGTCAGTTCCTGACACCACCAAATGCTGGCCAGGATGTGGAGCAACAGGAGCTCCTACTCATTGCTGGGGGGAAGGCAAAATGATTTAGTCACTTTGGAAGACAGTTTGGCAGTTTCTTACAAAACTAAACATATTCTTACCATATGATCCAGCAACCACACTCCTCGGTATTTACCCAAGTGAACTGAAAACTTATGTTCACACAAAAACCTGCATGAGGATGGTTATAGCAGCCTTATTCATAACTGCCAAAATTATTCATAACTGCCAAGATGTCCTTTAGTAGGTGAATGGATAAACTGTGGTACATCCAGACAGTGGAATATTAACCACCATTACAAAGAAGTGAACTACTAAGCCATGAAAAGACATGGAGAAGCCTTAAATACATATTACAAAGTGAAAGAAGCCAATGTGAAAAAGCTATATATTGTATGATTCCAACAATATAAAATTCTAAAACATACAAAACTATGGAGACAAAATAAAGACCAGTGGTTGTCAGGGGTTGAGGGGAAGGAGGCAGGGATGAAAAGGCAGAGCACAGAGGATTTTGGGGGCAGTGAGACTATTGTGTATGATATTATAATTACACATTTGTCAAATTATACATTTTTACAAACTCATAAAATGTACACCACCAGGAGTGAACCCTAATGTAACACACAGACTTTGGGTGATAATGATGTGTTAATGGAGGTGCACTGCTTGTAACAAATGTACGACTCTGGTGCCAAATGTTCAGTCAGGGAGGTTGTGCAGGTATAGGGGCAGGGAGGATACAGGAACTCTCTGTACCTTCCGCTCAATTTTCTGTAAATCTGAAACTGTCCTAAAAAATAGTCTATTAAAAAAAATGAATCTGGAAGAGTGACATGAGCATCATGGCAGAGTGAGCTCTTCCCCTAGTCTCTCCTTACTAAGATACAATGAAAAGGACATTCAAAAACCAACAGAAGGCATCCATACAACCAAGAGATGTGTGAGAGACCCACACAGCCACATGTCTGAATGTGGAAGTGCTGAAGATGATTAAGAGACTACTATGAAAAACCATATGCCAACAAATTGGACAATATAGAAGAAATGAATAATTCTTAAGACTCATACAACTTCCCAAAACTGAATCAAGAAGAAATAGAGAATCTGAATAGACCAATCACAAGTAAAGAGACTTAAACAGTAATCAAAAACCTCTCAAAAATAAAAGTCTAGGACCAGATGGCTTTTCCAGAGAATTCTACCAAACATTCAAATAAGACTTAATACCTATCCTTCTCAAACTATTGCAAAAAATTGAGGAAGACTGAACACTTTCTAACTCATTCTACAAGGCCAACATCACCCTGATTCAAAAGCCAGGCATCGACAACACAAAGAAGGAAAATTACAGGCCAATACTGATGAACATAGATGCAAAAATCCTCAACAAAATATTGGCAAACCAAATACAGCAATATATTAAAAGAATCATACACCATGACCAAGTGGGATTTATACCAGGGATGCAGGGATGGTTCAACATCCACAAATCAATCAATATGATACACCACATTAACAAGATAAGAAATAAAAACCACATGATCATCTCAGTAGATGCAGAGAAAGTATTTACCAAGATCTAACATCCATTTATGATAAAAACTCAATAAAATGGGTATAGAAGGAAAGTACCTCAACATAATAAATGACAAACCCACAGCCAACATCATACACAATATTGAAAAACTGAAAGTCACCCTCTGAGAACAGGAACAACACAAGGGTGCCCACTCTCGCTTCTCTTATTCAACATAGTACTAGAGGTTTTGGTCAGAGCAACTGGACGAGAAAAAGAAATAAAAGACATCAAAATTGGCAAAGAAGAAATGACACTCTTGCTGTTTGCAGATGACAGGATTCAATATATAGAAAACCCTAAAGAATCCATCAGAAAACTATTAGAAATAATCAACAACTACAGCAAAGCTGCAGGGTACAAAATCAACTTACAAAAATCAGTTGTATTTCTATACTCTAATAATGAACTAATAGAAAGAGAACTCAAGAATACAATCCCATTTATAATCGCAACAAAAAGAACAAAATATCTAGGAATAAATTTAACCTCATTTAACCAAAGAGATGAAAGACCTATCCACTGAAAACTGTAAGACATTATCAAAAGAAATTGATGACATAAAGAAATGGAAAGATATTCCAGGACATGGATTGGAAGAATAAACATAGTCAAAATGTCCATATTGCCTAAAAAAAAATCTACAGATTCAACACAATCTCAATCAGAATCCCAATGACATGCTTCACAGAAATAGAACAAAGAATTCTAACATTCATATGGAACAACAGAAGACCCCAAATAGCTAAAGAAATGCTGAGAAAAAAGAACAAAGCTGGAGGCAGCATAATCCCTGACTTCAAATTATACTACAAAGCTATAGTAATCAAAACAGCATGGTAATGGCAGAAAAACACACAGATCAATGGAACAGAATTGAAAGCCTACAAATAAAACCACTCATCCTCAGATAGCTAATCTTAGACAAAGGAGCCAAGAACATACAATGGAGAAAGGAAAGTGTCTTCAATAGTGTGGGGAAAACTGGACAGCCACAAGCAAAAGAATGAAAGTAGACCATTAGCTTACACCATACACAAAAATTAACTCAAAATGGATTAAAGACTTGAAGGTAAGATGTGAAAACATAAAACCAGAAGAAAATACAGGTAGTACACTCTTTGACGTTGGTCTTAGCAGGATCTTTTCTAATATCATATCTACTCAGGCAAGGGAAACAAAGAACAAAATAAACAAACGGGACATCAGACTAAAGAGGTTCTGCAAGGCAAAGGAAACCAGGAACAAAACGAAAAGACAACCCACCAACTGGAAGAAAATATTGGCAAATCATATATCTGACAAGGGGTTAATCTTTAAAAAATATAAAGAATTCATATAACTCAATGACAAAAAAACAAGCAACCCAATCACAAAATGGGCAGAGGATATCAACAGACTTTTTTTTAAAAAAGATATACAGATTGCCAATAGGCACATGAAAAGATGTTCAGTATCACTTATCATTAGGGAAATGCAAATCAAAACTACAATAAGATATCACCTTACACCTATTAGAATGGCTATAATCACCAAGACAAAAAATATCAAATGTTGGTGAGGATGTGGAGAAAAGGGAACCCTCATACTGCTGGTGGGAATGCAAACTGGTGCAGCCACTATGGAAAACAGTATGGAGATTTCTCAAAAAAATCAAAAATAAAAATCCCATACAACCCAGCTATCTCACTATCGGGTATTTATCCAAAGAACTTGAAATCAACAATTCAAAGAGCCTTATGCACCCCTATGTTCACTGCAGCATTATTCACAATAGCCAAGACATGGAAGCAACCCACATGCCCATAGACTGATGAACAGATAAAGAAGATGTGGGGTGGGTGTGTGTGTGTATATACACACACACACAATGGAATACTACTCAGCCATAAAAAAGGCAAAATCATCCCATTTGCAACAACATGAATGGATCTTGAGGGTTTTATGTTAAGCAGAATAATCCAGAGAAAGGCAAACACTGCATGATTTCACCCATATATGGAAAATAGACACATGGACAAAGAGAACAGATTAGTGGCTACCAGAGGGGAAGGGGGATGGGGGATGGGGATGAGCATAAGGGGTAAAGGGGCACATCTACATGGTGACTGACAAATAATATACAACTGAAATTTCACAATGTTATAAACTATTATGACCTCACTAAAATAATTTAAAAAGATGAATCTGGCAATAATGTTAAATATAAACCAGACAAGGGATTAAAGTGAGAGAAATTAGTTAAGAGAATACAGTAATATTTTAGGCAAGAGACAAGGATAGGCTGTAGAAACAACACTGGCAATAGAAACAAAAGCATCTAAACAGTAGCTACTACTGTATGCAACCACTGCAGACCTTCCATACAGTGAGAGGAAGGTATTTTCTCCAAATTAACAAAACAAAACAAAACGAGTAACGACTTTAACAAAATAAATGTTACCTTAGAATAATTTTCCGAGTTTACATGACAAATATATGCAGTGAACATTACATAATATATAATAAATCACTTCCATGTTTTTTATACCTAAGAAATTTTTAATTTATTTCAACTGAGATACTATAAAAATAATAAAAGTGTAACGACTTAAGGCTTAGTTTTCTTATACATTACTTGAAATAACTATGATTAAATACTACATCCTTACTGATAACGGTTTGCCTTTTTAATGAACGTAAATCATCAGTTTGAGTAAAATCTTAATTTCCTATCGATACTGACAAACTACTCCCCCTAAGAAAACTCTAAGCATTGCAAAGTGAATACTGAACACCTGTTAAAAATCAGTGTAAGTGACTCTGTGGAGCGATGTTTTTCTTTACAATGAAAACAAGAGGAAGATTATTTTTCTGAAAGTGGAGAAATTAGCCTCACCTTTTTCTTCAGGCTTTACAGGAAAATACTTCTTCTCTGCAGCTATCAGCTCAGGCTTTGGAGCTGAGGAGACAAACAAAGTCAATACTTTTTTTAAAAATAGTTTTAGAGCACAAAGATAATTCTACTACTAAAAAGTAAAGGTTAGTTCAAAAATAACATCACAGGAAAACAAGGTTTGACAGAAAGAACAAAATACCAGAACCACTAGGCTCCAAACCTAATCCTGCACGTGCCACTATTACCATGAGTAAGTAATAATTCTGCCATCTCGGTTCCTTCTATGTCAAATGAAGATGCTCATATCCTATACAACACCACTGTCCAGTAGAACTTTTTGTGATGATGGAAATATTCTATTTTTGTGCTGTCCAATATTGACTACTGAGACTTGAAATGTTGTTACTGTGACTGTGGAATTAAGTTTGTTATTTAATTTTAATTAATTTTAAAAGCCCCATATGCCTACTGGCTAAAAAGCCTCCAATACTAACTTCCGTAAAAATTACTTTTAACTTATGCTTTCCTTGCTCTGGGATTAGGTCAGCAAATACAAAGCTGAGACCATGGAGGAGGGGAGGACTTGCGTTAGTCTAAAAAAGAGCAAATCTTTCAAGAAAAATAAATTGCACTACCCTTGTAAAAATCAGAAATTAGGAGCTAGAACTTATAGAAACAGAAAAAAACCCAGATTATAAGACTTTAATCCCAAAAAAACTCTTCTAGGTGTACCAAAATTTATTCAACTGTTTAAAAAAATAAACTCTTCTAGTTTGTTTAACTCTTAGCACTGTCTCTGAAGGAAGAGTACATAAATAATTAGTATTGGTTTGAGACACTGACAAAAGGTAGAATAACTAATTGGCCAGGTCAACATATTAAATTTTCTAAACAGATTTAAACATAAGTCAATTTTCTTAACTCAAGATGACATGTAACTAAAGTATCCAAATTATTTTCAAGATCCCTATTTTATATAGTTTGTACTCTAAAAAAAGTACTGACAAATATTAATGTATGTAAACAATTAATTTTTATATATTTCTAAAAATGTATATATAGCTCATATTTGGCTTTTGCTAATAAAAGTAAATGGTTTACATAAGACCTAATTTCACCATTTTAGAACATACAAATAAGAAAAATAGCAAACTGACTAATGTGTTTCTTACATACCTGGACCCTTAACAGGAGGTGGTGGTTTCTTTGGTTTCTATTAAAATAAAAATGGTTAAAATAGTTGAACACTTACACATTAAATATTTGTAGTTAAAGTAAATTCTGATCATTAATAATCTAAATTACATGAACATCTCTCCTCGTCCCATCTCTGTCAAAAATTATAAAATAATAAGATCCTAATGACTCTATAAAAGGTCACTGACTAAAAATTTACTCTATTACAACAAATGCCTCCTTGATCAAAAATTAAACATTTCAAAAATTATCACTGAGTTGGATAAACCTAAAAAATCATAATGATGAGCAAAAATGTTCTGTCCTGCCTCCCCTAGTTTAAGATTTCTACAGATCATTTTACCCCTCTTTAATAGCTAAGTTCAGGGAGAAAAGAAAGGTGGCAGGGAAAGAGAGAGAGAGAGAGAGACTTTGTTTAAAAGAAAAAAAAGAATAGCTAATAAATATATCTAGCTTTAACTCTTGATTCTCCATAAGTCTCAAAGAAAAGTTTAAAGGCAAACGTCTGTTCTTTCTCAATTTATTCAAATTCTCTTGGGTTTATAAAGCATTCATTCATTTAAAGACTTAATTTAATGCCTTAAAAAACTTGATACATTTCTAAGTATGTAAATTTGCTTTTTCAAATTAAAAATAACTGATAATCAATACCGTGTAAACACCTAATAAAAGCCAAAAAAAATAATGTGTTCATTAAGAAGAGTATAAAAGTAAAGCACACTGAAGGCTGACTCTACACGGAATGAAATCCAGCAAAGAAAGCGCCTCCCTAAGACAGCATAAGCCTCCACTGAGTAACCTCTAGTAATTCACTTAACTAAACGAAAGATTGTAAAAGGTAAAGATTTCTGCACTGGCTTAAATCAAACATGGTAGACTGTTTTGCTGTGTGTCTGCTCTCTAACTCTCTTTCCTTCTATTTTAAAAACCCAATTACATTCATCCTTCCATGGGGGAGAAAAAGGGATCAAGCTGTAGGAAAGCACAAGATCACTGACCAATGACAGGCTCCCTTTACTCACTGTGAGAAGGAAGATAGATATACTAAATCCTGTAAGGAGGCAAAGACTGCTTCTTACCCTCTCAAATATGTGCTAACAGAATAATAACATCAACAGTACCTTAAAATAAAGATTTTCAACAAAATTAAATAAAAATATAATTTCTTCCAGACAAGTGCTAATTTGTCCAACTAGTATGGCTAGCCTTTTTTCTTTTAATTATAATAAAGTAATGAAGTCTAAGGTTACTTTTCAACATAATCGGGGGGAAAGAAAAAAGAAAACCAGGAATAAAGCACAGAAGTGAAATACTGTTTTGTTTTACTATAATTCAAGTTAACTTTTACTGAACATATAAACCTGAAACCCCCTCATAAAATTATTTAGTAACAACGCAAAAAACCTGTTTTTTAAGAAATACTGGCAAAAGGTTCTTTAAACTATTATTATCATCATTGAAAAATAAAAGCTTACTGGAAAGTCCTTATCCAGTTCACTTATCTGAAGAGCAAAATTATCTGGAAATACTCCTTCTTTACCATTAAGTTCACCCTTCCACCAGCCAGCTTCTCCAGTCTCCTAAAACGCAAAACAAATAATAATAAATAATAGGGGTTATCTTTAAATAAGGAAAAAGTTTACAACGAAATGAATTTCATTATTTTTACAACAAAAAGACCTAAGCAGATCATGAGGTCCTTCTAAAAGAAAATATCCCCCACAGATTACTTCTAGTAGTAGTTATAAAATTGAGTTTAATTTTTTAAAATATGTCAAATAATTTCAAAATTCAATTTGCAAGCATAAAATGTTCTCAGAGGGAGAAGAGAGAGGAAAAAGGAAAGGAAGTGGGAGAGAAGGGTAGAGAGAATATGAATTTCCAAACTGTATCTTACTTAACATTCTTCTCAATACTTTATATACTAAAAATTAATCACATTATTCATTTGCTTTAGAAATTAACAAGATCTTCTACCGTTCCTTCCAATACCACCCTTCCGTAAGAAATTAGGTGTTATCAGTCCAAACTGTATGAAAATTAAAAGTTACATACACTAAACCATCTAATAAAGTCAATTTAAAATAACATGAAAAATTTGAAAAATTATTTTATAGGGTTATAGCAAAAAAATATATTTACACTTTTCCTTTACAAATACAAATTACAAAGTTATTATAGGATTCTGTCCACAACCCAATGCTACTGAATTTTTTTCTTTTGCCCTAATTCATTCCAAGTTATAAAACTACCTCACTCTTTGAAATAACTATCATTTTCCACAATATGAAGTTTCATAACCATTTACATACTGATGAACCTTTAAGTTGTTTCCTTATTTTCTTTCTTTTTCTTTTTATATTACAAACAATACAACAAATAGTAGATGGGGAAAAAATGGACTGAGATGGAATAGCAAGTGAGAACAGAAACCCGGTAGCGGAGGTTAGAGAAAAAAAAAACACGATGGCAAAAATAATTCCCAATATATCAATTATGAACAAAGATAGACAATAAAAGTTTGCTCAAAAAAAGAACTTTCTGAGCACTTACTATGTGCCAGGTTCTCAGGACACAGAAAGAAAGAGACTAGACAAAGTCCTAGCTCTTCTAGAGCTTACACTCTAGGGGGAATGCAAGAACACTGAAAAATACTTGTGAATAAATTAAATGATTCACTGAAACACTGAGAAATATCTTACCTTACTTATCAAATGGATTATCTCTCCTTCTTTAAAAGTAAGTTCATCTTCATTAGTACCTTCATAGGCAAATAATGTTCTACAATATTCCTTAGCTAAAATAAAGAATGTAAATAATGTAGCATATATAAATTGAGTCTTTCAACAAATACTTATTAAGCCGCTATTTTGTATAAAGAAATGTACACTAGAAACTATTACAGATGAATTTAATAATTCTGGCCAATACTATATGTTGAATTAAGTAACAATTCCATTAATCACTCATTCAAACAGTTACTAAGTGCCTACTAGGTTCCAGGCACAGTTCTAACTGCAGGGGGGACATCAACAAAGCATACTAAAATTCTTAACCTCATGGTGCTTACATCCAGTAGAAAAACTTCATTCAAAAGCTTACCTTTAATTTTACCTTCAGCGTCTGTTTTTGTTATCTCCACACTCTGAGTTTTGGATCCTAGTGACTGTATGTTTAAGGGCTACGATAGAAAAGAATGGCATCAACTATGTTAAGTCAGATTAAAGATAATATTGTTAAACAAAATTTCCATTTACAGTTATCCAGCTTTCCCTAATGGTACTTATAATCAGGTTAGTAACATGCCTGAAAACTCTGCAATGAAAAAGATGAAGGTTTCAAAAGCTACAAAATAACAGCTCAGAATTTCTAATTTTTAAAACTCTGTATCTTAAGGATAATAAACATACTCTGATACCCATAATATAGCATAGTGATTTAATTTCAGAACCTCTAAAATAAATAAATAATAAGAGCATTTGAAAATTTCCTATGCACCAAGCCCTGAGCTAAGCACTTTACATACATTATAAGCTAATCCTCCCCAGAACAATCTGCATAAAGTAGGCACTAGCATTGAGTCCTTTTACAGATTAGGAAGCAGTTAAGTAACCTGATCACAATAACAGTAATTTAGTAGTGGAGCCCAGACTGAACCTAGAAAGTCTGACTCCAGGAAGTGGGCTCTTAAACTTCCTTACAATAAGACAGAAAAGAAAGACTTTATACTTCATTGCTGCTATCTGAATGAAAACGTTTAGGTAATGTTCCAATTCTTATTCCTATAGTCTAGTAGACAATTTTCCATTGTAATTGACTACACTAAGTCCTTCACCACCTCATATTAGTGCTTTCTTGAGTTCTCGCCCCAGAAATAACACTACATTTTAACCTTAGATTTCATTAAAAATCTGAACAAACTGCTAACTTACCTATCACTGTGTATTCTATTTAACTTTTAAGATATTCAGTTTAATTTCTCCCAATTCTAACTACCATGTCTTCCAATCTAGTGTCACCTACAAACACAGCAAATGTGTTCCCTACTTTATCAATGCCTAGATCAAAGATCAAAGCAAGCCTCAGAAGGCCATCATACAGGGTGACCCTGAGACTAGTCTCACTAATAACAACCCTTGAGTCATGGGCATTATAAACAGCAACTGAAAGATTACTAGCGTAATCGTTAATCAAATAAAGTTACTCAAGATAATCATAGGCTTTAGAGTCGGAAAAGGGCCCCAGATCATCTAGTCTAACATGCCTCTTAATGGAGACACGCTTCTCCAACATTCGTAGTTGTTATATGGCTACACAGCACCATTCCAAAAACCACAAGAATTCCAATCTTTACCTTTAAAACCAAGAATCAATTAGGCCCCATAATCTTAATGCCAGACAGTCTCAGAGCTAGGAGAGGACAGGGCAGAAAGTACAAGTTCTCTTTCTGAATGCAAATCATTATTAGATGAGAAAATACATAGTAAGCCGGGAAAGAAAAAAAACATTGAAATGAACCACTTTAAGAGTAAACTTCACAATATATTTCACCTACCAAAACATAGTCTTATAAGTCAAGTGTAGCTAAACTAGGCAAGTAAATACAGAAATACTTTAAACTCTTAAGAGTTAAATACAGACACACAAATGAGAACCAAAAGGGAAACAACGCCCTAAAAGTCAAGGGAAAAGCCTCCTATCTGAAGCCAGAGCTCAGTCTGCAGCTCCAGGGTGTTGACATTAGAAAGGGCTTTGAAATACATGTTTTAAAGACTGTAGCTATTTTTCTTCCAAAATAGAAATTTAAGGATTTATTTTAAAACCTCATTAAATCTTATAATTTATGGTACATTCACTTTATTTCACAACACCAGTGAAATGCTAATGAAAAATAAAGTTCTCCATATATTTAGAGAGGGAGAGGAGATTTCACCATTGCTGATAATCCCAAGGAAAGTTAAACAGCGCCTAATTAACTATTAAGTTGTGAACTTAACAGCTGCGACTATCTCATTGTGAATCCATTTTAAAATGGCCCACTTTAGGCCTACTTCAAATTAAAGAAAAAATATGTAATTTTAGCTTCAAAACGCAAAAATAACGCAACAAAATTTGTCTTTTCTTACAGTACGATAACTAAAAACTCAAACTTCCACTGAGAAAAGTTTGCGTTAAATTTACCAAAAAAATCCTAATTTCATAAGAATCAAATATAAACTTTAATCACTGTAAACTTGAAAAGAGTTTCTCATTTATAATAAATTATTCATGATCTCAAAAAAAGGAAACGCAGTAAGATTTGCAAACTCACTTTTACGTTTTAAAACACTTAACAAGAGAATAAATGGAGTTAATCTGAGTAAAATTCATCAATACTACCTTTTCTGGTTTTTTCTCTTCTATTTCACTATTGGATGTTCTTGTCCTAAGTTTCACAGAGCCTTCTTTAAAAATATCTCCAAATCCAACTCCTCGAATTTTCTTTGGCTGTGTAACTAATCCAGGTGCAGTTTCGCTCCCACTCCCAGGAGAGGGTAAAGGTGAGGTAGGCCCAGTCAAAACAGTTTCTGAAAGAAGAATTTGTTTTTGATGAAAGAATGACAAAAATCTTGACATTCTTCTTCCATAGTGTTTACATTCTATACTTCCTAATAAAAAATAGTAGAATAAAAATAACAGATTAGGGGCCGGGCCAGTGGTGCAGTGGTTATGTTCGCACATTCTGCTTCGGTGGCCCAGGGTTCACTGGTTCAGATCCCAGGTGTGGACCTATGCACTGCTTATCATGCCATGCTGTGGCAGGTGTCACACATATAAAGCAGAGGAAGATGGGCACGGATGTTAGCTCCGGGACAGTCTTCCTCAGCAAAACGAGAACTGACAGCAGATGTTAGCTCAGAGGTAATCTTCCTCAAAAAAAAAAAGATAAATAAATAATAATGATAAATTAAATGACTGAGTACTAAAATGCCCAAAAGAATAAGATGCATTTTATACTAATTTTTGGATACTACTTAAAATAATAACAATTTTAGGTATTTTAATTAGTAAAATGTTAATTAATAAATCCAGGACATAATAATAAATCCAGGACATAAAAATAAATCCATAATAAATCCAGGACAAGGTCCTTAAGAGCATGTCAAAATTTACAGTTCTTCGACAAAGACGACGTAAGACAAACATAAAACAAGTCTGAAACATTAAAGAGATAAAGTTAATCATTTTTAAAAGTTATACGATTCAATCTGATCAAAACTAGGGTGAGTTTCTGAAGGTAAAAAGCAGCAATACTAGCAAATTTTTATTTTAAAAAGTCAACAGTTCAAGATCTATCATTTTACCTCAGAGGTGACATAATGTAAGTCTAAATTGAAAGCAGTCAATGAAAACTTAAATTGTAATACTAATTTCTTTTTTTTTTTCTGAGGAAGATTTGCCCTGAGCTAACATCCTTGGCCAATCCTCCTCTTTTTCCATGTGAGCCACAGCCACAGAATAGCTGCTGACAGACAAGTGGTGCAGGTCTGCCTGGGAACCAATCCTGGGCCACCAAAGTGAAGCTCACCAAACGCAGCCACCAGGCCACCAGGGCTGGCCCTGAAAAACTTTTAAAGACAGTTTAACATTATATGGATAAGAAAAGTTGTTTCTACATTCTTGCTGCAAAAGTTCTTATTTATAGGCTTCAATGAGTCCATGAACAGCCCCCTGGAAAATTGTGTGGATATTTTTTCAGTTCATTTTTCTAGGTAAAAGAAACACAGCTCTTAAGAGATTCTCAAAGGACCTTATAATCTAAGAAACAAAGTTCTAGAGTAAATTATCCAAGAAAATTCCAGAAACACTTCAGAATGGGGGGGAGGGGCACGGAAAAATACATGATATCAGTCATTGCACTAAAGAAGTCTGTTAAAGTTTAACAGTAAGAATAACAGCAGGGGTAATAAAAATGGTAGTTACCATTTATTCAGGATTTACTCTGTGCCAGGCGCTTGCTAAGCACTGTACGTGAATGACAGGTAATTTACATAACCATCCACAGGCTTAACATTAAGCACTATTACTCCTCATTTTGGAAATAAGTAAACTGGGCAAAGAGATGTCAAAAACTTTCCCAAGGCCATACAGGTAGTAACAAAGCCAACATTTGAACTGAATTCTAGATGACCCCAAAACCAGTCTTAAAACATTTTAATATAATGTTTCCAACAACAAAAGCCTCCAATTACACATTTGAAAACATGTGCGAAGTAGTTAACAGAAACTTGTGTGAACTTAAGAAATGTAATGCTAACAAGTACAGTGATCTACTCTAACGACTTTCAATATTAGCCTAACCCACATACATTTTTTGTAATATATTTTAAATCAACTTCATTGAGCGAATGTTTACAAACAATAAAATGAATCCATTTTAATTGCACATTCCAATAATTTTTGACAAATGTATGTACCACGTAACCACAACGATCAAGATATAGTCACCCCAAATCTTCATCCTGTCCTTTTTAGAGTTTCAAATAAATTTAATCACATAGCACGTACGTCTTTTGTCTGCTTCTTTTGCTAAGCAGAGTATGTGTAAGATTCATCCATGCCGTTCCATGCATCTGTACTTCATTCCATAAAAAACCATTCCATATGGTTTTTCTCCTTTAAACTATGAATATGGTAGATTATATTAACTTTTGAATGCACGAGATAAACCCCATTAGTCATAACGTATTAACTTTTACATATTTTGCTGGATTTGATGTGCGGATTTATAGCTTGCATCAAATTTGGAAATGTTTTAGCATTCTTTCTTCAAATATTTTTTGTCCTCCCTCTCTCTCATCTCCATTTGAGACTTTAGCTACACATATGTTAGACCATTTAAAATTATCCCAAGTTGCAGAAATTTTTTACAGTCTTTACGCTCTTTGTGCTTCACTCTGCATAGATTCTATTGCCACATTTTCAAGTTCAATGATCTTTTCTTCAATTGTCTAGTCTACTGTTAAAATTTCACATGAAGGAATTCATTTCTGATAGTTTTCTTCATCTCTAGTAGTTCCATTTGATTATTTATGTTTAATAACTTCTATTTCACTCTTCATCATGGTCACATTTTCCATTGTATCCTTGAGTATATTGAGCATTTCTATTATAGTTATTTTAACATCTTTGTTTGTTAGTCCATCATTTCTGGTTCTCTAATAAGTAATTTTTCTTCCAGATTATGGGCCACATTTTCCTACTTCTTGATATAGAGCTAGTAGTTTATTTTATTTAATGTTGTTGAGTGCTAGATTTTATTGTAATCCTTTAAAAACCAGTGATTCTCAACCTGAGATGATTTTGCTCCCCAAAGCACATGTTGCACTGTCTTAACACACTTCTGGTTAGCACAACTGAAAAGTGCTACTGACATCTAGTGGGTAGAGATATGGGATAATTGTAAAAATTCTGTAAGCACCAGACAGCCCCCACCCAGAGCAAAGAGTTATCCAGCTGAAATATCATCAGTGACAAGGTTGAGAAACCCTGCTTTAAAGAGTGCTGATTTTTTTCTAGCAAACAGGTAAGTTACTTGCATGTTAGTTTTAAGCTTTTTCAGGGCAGAACGAGAATAGTCACCATTTTAAGGTGAATTTAGCCCCATTTCACCCTTTACTGAATTGCCCATGTATTCAATGAAGTCTTTCAAATCCCACTAGAGAGAATTCAAATAATTCTTGACCTTGCATAAAACCAGGAATTATTCATGTTAATTCCCAGTAACTACTTTCCTCACAAACTGTTCATGTCTCACCTTGTGGGGTTTCACTCTACATCTTCACAGATTGGTATTCAGCCAAACACTCAAGGCAACCAGTACTCACATTTCTGGAGCTCTTCTCTACATCTCTCTCTCTTCAGGTATTCAGCTCCACAAATTCTAACTACCCTGGGTTCCCTTAACTCAGATCTCTAACTCCTCAACTCAGCAAAACTGACAACCTTCTGCTGAGGTTCCCTCTTCCTGCACTGCAGTCCAGAAATTACCTCTTGGCAGAAATCCAGGCCAATGATAAGGTTTTCTTGTTTCTTTCCCCTTTTCTCAAGAATCTCAGTCCTGTGCTGTCTGAAAATATTTGTTTCCTATATTTTGTTCAATGTCCCAGTTTGTATGATAGGAAGGTAATTCCACATGGTCTTGCTCCCTCATTGCTAGAACTGTAGTCTATATTCTGTAATACCTAGCTTCAATAACCAGACTGCCATATTCAGGCACAGAGTATATGAGGTACTCATCTGAGAGGCCTTTTAAACTGAAACAATCTATGATATTAATAAGTCAAAGACTGATAAAGGCAACTTCAGCAGATGATTCTAAGGTGCAATTTTCAGTTTGCATATTTGATTACGGCCATAAAATAAAAATTTTAGATTTAGTGACTATAAATTTTACTAAAGTCATGAAAACATTTATCATTAAAATAAATGCCTAGATAACAAAAATATGTAGTACTTATATATAGGCTGATTATCTTTTGGCTCATTGAAAATTGTCAGAAGTACTACAATGGCTATTAAATCAATGGTTCGAAGGCAGCCTAGTGTAGTGGTAAAGCACATGAACTCTGGAGTCAAACCCTCTTGATTCATATCTCACCTCCTCCACTGGATGTGCCTAGTTTCTTCGTCTGTGAAAAGGATACTTCACAGCATTCCTACGAGGATTAAATTAACAGATTCCTGTAAAGTGCCTAGAACAGTGCCTAGCTCAGTGCATACTATTTTTAAAGAGTTTAAACAGGTCTTATTGAGAACGATTCAAGTAAAAGAGAGTATGATCACACAGAAGGAGCAAAAAAATAAAAGGGAAAAACATCTTAGCCACTAAAAGGAAGAAAGGGGAGCTGGGGGAAGAAAGGAGGAGAAGGGGACAAAGAGGGGGAAGGAAGGGCAACAGGTCATGTCATAATCAGACAAACAGAAAGCTTACCCATATGGTATTTCTAATATTTTTATGTGCACATGCTTAACAACCAGATTGTCCTTGAATTGCTAAGCTTGTAGAAAATTACATCTGCATTCTGTGTGTGGCACTGTCAGTCATCAAACATAACACAAGTCTTCCTGTTAAGCCTAGAACTCTCACTTCCTTCCTTTCTCATTAAATCTCTACAGCAAACGCTACTTGATGGTTTATATCTCCAGATAAAATGACTTAAAACGACCAAGAGTACCAAAATATAATTACTTCTTGAAAAAAAATAAGAACCTTTATGTGAGCTGCACTATGTGCTGAAGAAAAATAATACAAAGTAGAAACTTGATTAAAAATACAAAGCATTTAATGGAAGCAAACCAAGTTGATTATTAACGTGAATGGGGAACTAATGCAGGGTATCTTACATTAAGTTAGAAACATGTAAACCAAGTAGAAGAACTAGGAATCTACTAAAGTTGCTGGCATAAATTGCCCCTCTTTTTATTCTAGAGAAGAACATCTTTCACCATCATTCAAAGATTTTTAAGATAATCCTACATTTCCTAAGAAAATGTGAAGTGTGTGTTAACTGGACTTAGAATCTGT